TTAGTGGGAAATTTTCTGAATCATTGACTAGCATGGATTTGCAACAAGGAGAAGAGATTGGCAGTGACAACTTCACACGGAGCCTCTGGAAGAAGCTTTTCTGAGGAGTTAAATACAATGTTTAGAAAAAGGCAAACGTGTTATTCACAGCAGGTGATGCTTTATTTTTATTTTTCACTCTAATTAGATTTTTAAAACTGAATTCCTGGAATTCTGCAACTTTGAAAAAAACTGCAGGCATACCAGTCTGAGAGGTGACTGCCATCTGTAGATCTGTTATCTGTATTACTCACATCTGCGGTCTCAATTCCTTCAATTGCAGAGTCGCTGGAACTACTAGGCCCACCCCTCCTCTCCTTCTGCCCATTCACAGAAGCATTTGTATTATGTAAAATCATTCACAAAATACAACAGCTTCTGTGAATAAGCAGATGGAGAGGAGGGATGGCCATAGATGCTCTTTTTTCTCTTCTAATCCAGTGCAATAAACTTGTCACATATGGGGACATGCCTATAATTAGACTTAACTCATGGTGTGCCTTCTCATTTTGCAAAGTTGCTGAATTCCTAGAATTTGTCTTTAAAAAAAAAAATAATAATAATAATAATAATATCAGCAAAGCTTTATGTATGGTTGTACAAAATGGTCAACATTATCGGGAACAATTAAGGAGTTGTATAAAACTGTAACTTGACTTGTACAAAAACCCAAATAGTGTATAACTAGAAAAAAATGCATTATGGTTGACTCATCTGCCAGAGGATTTGTACTTTTTTTCCAACCAGTCTTGCGATTCACACCACTACCACACTACACTGATGAAAAATGTAGATTCCTGTTTCAACTTTAGAGCTTCCTCTGTCACCAGCTTGCTCCCTGGTAAGTGGCAATGATGCTGATTCACTGTCCACTGGGGGACCTGGCTGAGAATGGAAGCTGTTAAGCTGAACATAAAGCCACCTGTAACTACACAATGTAACAGAGGAGTGCGAGTCCCAGAAGTGGCTGCATAGAAATACAAATCATATAGAAGCATTTTATATGTATTCAGCCATCTGCCGATGTTTAACTTTATGAAAGAAGTACTTTAGGCTGAACTCCAGGCAGATATAAAAAGGCACTAATAAGTTCTCCTCATTATTAACACATTATTAAATGTATTTTGTTTTTTCAATCTACGTCGTCGCACATGGTGTAAAATTCCTGAATTAGTCAAATGTACAGAAAAGCAACACAGAGCGAGTCAGATGTGATGGAATGTAAGAAGCCACACTATTCGGAGAAGAAAGCAAAGTGACTGAAAGATAAGCTCTTCAATGTGCTGCTTCTCCTTTCACTGTCCAGTCACAGAGTGAAGGTGGGGAGGATACCTCTACGTTAAAGTGGAATTCTATGCTTCAACAAACTAAACTTAAAACGGCTCTCAACCCCCTTCTAACTACCCTGTAGAAGGATGCTTGTACTTCTTCTCTGGGAGCTCCAGTCCGATCACACGATCTCCTTAGAGGCCAGCTTCAGGGCTGACTAGAGAGAGTAGAAAACAGATGGGAATGCTTGGGAGATGACAGCACCCATAGGCTTACTATGGGGCATCTGTTGGCTGTCCCCTCTCCCCTGAAGCCGATCAAGATTTCGGAGTGCCCTGAGAATAAGAATAAACCTCTTCCTTATCCATGCGACTTATGCCGGCCATAGACGGTTCGAAAATCGGCCGATTTTCACACTGTTAGTGGGCTAATTGGTCGGTCGTTTGTTGGGTTTTTAGCACTTTGAGATTATTGGTCATGATGGAAAATTTGCGACCGATTTGGACGATCGGCCGATTTTCCCGGCAATGATGGCAAAAGCGGCCAATCGTTTTAGCGATAAAAAATCTGCGCATGAGCCACGACCTGCAAGGGACAGAAGTTATAAGGGGGAACTTAATGATTTAGTCGGCCGATTTTTTTAATCGTTGGTGGGAACGTTGGCCGAACGAACGACCGATTTTTTGTTTATCGTTCGAAAAATCGGCCAATGTTCGACCCGTCTATGGCCTGCATTAGAATAGGAGTCAGGAGGGGGGTGGAAGTAGTTTTAAGCTTAGATCTATTTCCACATTAAAGGGAAATATCAGCAGAGACACACAAGGTCCTTTCCCTCGCTAGTCAGGACTGTGCTATGTGGCAGAGCAGTGTAAGCCCCAGCATTGGATGGACAGAAATACGAATCCCCTGGCAGGTAAAATGGCTCATATATATGTATTTCATATGTGTATTTATCCGTTTACCTGGAGTTCAGCAATAAGTATTAAATGTAAAAAAGACCATTTCAAAAGAAAGACATATGCTATTCGTATTGAAAATACTGTAGGTTTTGACTGGTTTTTAACTTTATTATATTACACTCAACTTTTATTAGAGGCCCTTACATATTATGCAATTACATGCATTTTTTACATACTTTCCGGATTTAGTTTAAGAACATTTTACGCAGTGCAGTTTATATGCACTTATTTTATTCATTCAGTCTGATAAGTCAGGGAGGAACAGTTGGAATTGGGTTTTTCCAGGTACAGATGAGCTAATGAACAAAAATGCGTGTTATGTGTGTTTTTTATACATGCATAAATACACTAAATATTAGTGTATTAATAATTTAAAAATGCACTAAGCAGCAGCAAATAGCCATTAACTAAACCCACAAGAATGGGTGGGATTCCAACATGTACCAAGTTCCCCAAGTGCACCCTATTTTATCTCAGCTTCTCCTTTAAGTGTATAGATGTTTTGCCCATGCCCTTTAAGGCAGGGGTGCCCAACCTTTTAACCTTCCTGGGCCACATTGGAAGAAGAGGAATTGTCTTGGACAAAACATAAAATACACTAACAAAAACGATAACTGATAAGCAGAAAATTTGGGCAGATCACAAGTAAATGATCACAGATATAGATAATGTACCCGAGTAATAAAACTTAATTTTTTTTTAAATATTTTTTATTACAAAAAGTAAGAGGGCAACATAAAAACTAGTGTGATATTGGACACTGTTTTTTGATAAATTAACATCAATATCTGGTTCGATGGATGCAGCAGCAATTCTCAATGAATTCTCAAGGTGCTAACCAGATATTTTGTTTCTAATTTTGACCTTTGTGTGATTCATCCTAGAAAATAGTTATACACAAATATAGGGGCTGCCAAAAAAAGGATGACATGAATAGGACACAATTGTGAAGAGTGGGATATTTTTGTTTGGAAAGATAAAACTTATAAAAGTCCAGTAAAAAGACACCCTCATATTGTTCTTCGGCCATATGTGTCTGCTAAGTGCAAATGCATTTTTACTAAATATAAAAAAAAAAAAAATCTAAAATTTTAGGTTTATTATTTTGTGGTGGGCCACATGTAGCCTGTGACCTTGGATGCAGTTTCCCTATTTTGATTTTACAGATCTGAACGCAGTGCATGTTTGCCTATCTTCATGAACTGTATGCTTGGGCCTATAGACAAAAGAGAGAACTATGTTCGGGGGAAAAAAAAAGAGAGAAGAAAAAAAAAACCCGGTAGTACTGATAAAAGTGTATTTTTTATGGTCATGTGCATGAGTCCTTAAAGTGTACCTATAATTTCCAAAGAACCCCTTTGAAAATCCAAGCATAACTAATCTGGTGTGCCTGATATTTGATTTAGCTTCCAAACAAATATATCAACTGTAAGGAATGATTCAGCTACCACTGACAATATGGGAATATTAGTCAGATATTAGTCAGTGGCGTATCCTGTGATTCCTTTGAAAGAGCCCCCACCAACTGTAGTATGCTTGTAAAATGGTCAACAAGCGGGTGATTTTTTTTTTTTTTTTTTAGTCTTCACCACGTTATTGAAAATATAGGTTAGGCTATTTTCATAGAAAATCCTTCCTGCACCACATAAAGTGGCTGCAGAAATAGAACACAAATTCAAACATCAGCTCAAACAGTAATGCATTTAAATTCAAAGAAATGTTTGAAATGCTGCTTTAAGTTCATTGGTACACAGAGCTATCCCTACAACACTATTTCTCCATAATGAATGGCTGGGGATTTTATTGTATGGCTATTGTATGGCTAATGAACGGCTGGGGATTTTAAACGAAGTTGTACCAGAAAACTGTACTGAATTTGTGCTTTGAAAGCAAACCTATTTTTAACATCCAAATATAAGCTAATGAGTTCCTCTCTTTTGGGAAGGAAGAAGCTAAGCTGTGCCTTGGAGATAATAAACAGTTTTTTTTACATCAAGGTTTATATTTTCATTTATTCCTTTTAAAAGGATCAGACTAAAAACTGAAAGTGATTTGAGCTGTTGGCAAGCCATAGAACTCCTCTATGCCCTTTACTCTTATGTCACATGTATGACTGTATAAAATAACCATCCCCCGTGGTCCAACAGCAGCCACTGCCAGATGGCACAGCTGGTATATGTGCTTGCATGTAGGTGGCATCTGACTGCTAAGGGTCTAGATGGTCTGCTCAAGTATAGAATGCTTATTCCTTTCGCACATGCGGTCTAAAGAAAAGCTGATGGCAGACTAAATACTGAAATGGGCCTGTTCAGTTTAAGGGCCAACTCCACTTAAATAGGTTAATTGAAGTGGATTCCTATACAACTTTCCTGTGGAGGTTTGTTGTTTCCCAAAGCCATAATGGTGGTTTCACCCTCCAACAGCTAGATTGTATGAGCACTTCAATATACTAGGGAAGACATAAAACCATCATATGGCTCTGAAATGACAACAGTTGGGTGAATTTCTGTTGGGAAGGTTTAGTTGTTGCAGTAGACACAGAAAAGGCCATCATGCAGTATACATTTTCAGCATACACTCAATACAGTAATATTAGTGTTTGATGGTGCCGGCCTTTGCAGTCTGATGTTTACTTTTAGGACAGGTCCATTGTCTACGAACTCCTAGAGTAAAGCAAACTATGCAAAGATGGGCTTGAATCAAAAAAAAATAAAAAAAAAATGAGATTCTAACCGTTTGCAGGACTGCCTCTGGACCTTTTTCTTCAGACTCTGTGGCTGCCTGTGTGATGGCATTAGTGGTTTCCTCCGTTGTCTCCTCAGGCAGCTCTGCTCTCGTGGGCTGCTCCAAGTACTCCGGCTCTTTTACAGCAGCTGTATGGATAGACAGAAAAATATCAAAGCCTTTGTAACCATCAACACCTCTGGTGAATATGAACCTTAGCTGATGGGGCTTCCTAATTAGGTTATAAGTGACATTCGCCTGATGCAATTTGCAAACGGAAAGCTATAGACCAAATAAAAAAAAATATGGATGCTGACCTCCTAAAAAAGCTGGTACAAGAGGTGATAAATGTTCAAATGGGGACACCTGTTGTGATGACAGCTGCCTAAGATGGGAATTGTGACCATGAGATTTGCTTCTGCGTTGTCGCATTTCCAAAAATAGAAGTGAATAAAACATCTCCAACAGGACAAAGACAGCAAAAAAAAAAAAAAAAAAAACATTTTTTTTAATCTCGTCCCTACTCTATCCCTCCCCACATTCTCTCCCCTTCCCAGTTTGTGATAGGACTACGTTTTCCCCAATATACCATTGCATCTAGATTTGGGCTTCAAAACACAACTGCACATTGTGGAAAAACTGTTGTAAAATTCAGAAACGCTAAACCTGAAATCCCCGAGAAACATCTCGGCAAGATCCAGGACTTTTTCTAGAAATTAGCAATGAATACAATAAATACTGTGTATATATTTCCACGTAAACGCATCTTTAATACCAGACACAGAAGCTGGAGGTGGCTTTATGGTTTTCTGGGAAATCCGCATCTTCTCTTGCTCAGCTTTCCGAAGTTGCTCCTTGTCCCATTCTTCAATTTCCTTTTCAAACCGCCGGTTGTCTTCTTTGACAAATTCCTTTAAATCTGGAGGTAAGGTGTCCATTCCAGACAGCACCTGTCCTGTCTCCTTGTCATATTCCTCTGGAAAGATAAAACACAGGCATAAGTTGTTTAAGCATGCCATAACATATAATAAAAACACTTTTCACATACGGCAAAAGCAGAATAGTTTTTGGAAGAGGTGTGTATTTTACGCTCAAGTTTCTGTTTTACTGCAACTCTCCAGAAAATGCCAATCAGTGAGCGGCAGCTCATGTCCCCACTAATGATCACTAACCGATTCAAGTTTTGGATCGCATGATCACTATGTCAGCTATGATAAAGTGATGTAATGTAAGCTGGAGGCTTCACTGACAAAATGTTAGATACATTTGTAGTACATATATATATATATATATACACTGAATATATACTGTATATAGAAATATTTATTTTTGCAATGTATCAGTCTGACATACGAAACAGAGCAGGATTTTTATTAAAACAGTTTACCAATTAAAACCTTATATGTCCTTTACAAATGTTAACATTATTTAGGTATGCCAATTAGTTATTGTCATGTTAACCAAGACATGCTTGATTTTGCAAAATCAGGCCTGCGCATGTAGGAATCAATGAACTCTGATCACAAAAGGGTTAAAGAGCAATTTCAGGCAACAAATGCACCGCTGCTTCTAGCCAGGAAGCAGCTGTCTAGTCCACACAATCTAGCCTCATCTGCATTCTCTCTAATTCACCGTGGCCACATTTCACAGAGCTCCTGACAAGTATGGAGGGCAAGTCTTCTTTCTGCTGCAAGTCTTCGCTCTGTTCCTTGTATCATGAATCGGATTCAAAATCTCATTGTTAGTTTATATAGCTAATCAATGAGGGTTTTTAATTACAAAACTTAACTAAAATCTCTGATGCTGATAAATTAGGCTTTTCATCTGTGATAGATAGCATGTTTGGGAATATGTACATGTTTGGTGTACTACATCTATGACTGACAAGACAATTATGACCTGTGTTGGTAGGCTCTGCTCCTTTGATGAATTTCACTCAGTAGGTTTTAATTTTGGCTGGAGTTAAAGTTACCTTGTATTAAGTGCTGTTCATGCTCGTTTATATACATTAAACAGTAGGCGCTGGCATTTCTGTACCCTCCAAAGGAATCCCGCTCTAGCTCTTCCCATGAAGACTTAGTGACTGAGATGTCATTATATTTCATCCACCTCTTCTCATTGTGGTCAAAAATATATGCCCAGTAGTGTCCTGCATTAGCTTGGCCTTCGTGGACCAACACTGCATGTAACCTGTATGGAACCTGGAACGAAATTGCAAATAGTTTATTCAAGTGTTTGAGTGACCATCGATTGCCAGACCCCACGTCCAATTCAACAGACTGAGTGAACAGCTCAAAACTGTTATGCTTAGGACTACTCTAGTGGTGATAACAGCTGCTTCCAAGCATCACTCACTACTGCAAAGAGATTTTATAAATTCTTGGATAGTTTCTGTGTGATGGGACTGATCTTTCTTCCTTGCCATTGACAAGGAACAGAAAAGGAAACTATCATATTTTTTTACAGGCATTTATATATTGCAGACAATTTACACAGAGCTTTACATGCTGTATATTCACACTAGTCCCTGCCCTAAAGGAGTTAACAAACCAAGGTCCATCCCTCAATTGAATACACTCACACAGGAGCGAAATACATTGCCAGCATGTGTTTAGGAACGTGGAAGGAAACCAAAGTATCCAGAGGAATACCCACGCAAGCACAGGGAGAACATGCAAATGCCATGCAGACAGTATCCTGGCTTGGAGCTAATGACCTCAGTGCTGCAAGGCAGAAGTAATAACTACTAAGCCACAGCTGGCTCTGCTACATTCCATGCTGTGGCAGGCACGGAGTAGTACATTGTGGTAGGTACTGCACACAAAGATGTTTCTCTAACCATCATGGTTGAGGACAACAGTGATGAACAAAAGCTTATTTCATTTATAAAATCACCTAAATATTCCATGGCAGCCCTTTGTAGAACCTTCACTAGAAACATTGTTCATGGAAATTAATTTTAATTCACAAAGAAAACTAAAGTTATTGCAGTAAACTTTGCATGCAAGTCATTTTGTAGACAATTTTCATGTTTTATTTGCAATCAAAATTGTATTTAGTATCTTATTTTAACTACCTCCTCTGCAGCCTATAACTAAATGACAGCCGAGTGGGAGCACTGCTATTCCAGGTGAAGATCATATGAGGTCTTCCCAGTCTTACACCTTACCTTGTGCGTGCCCCTAGGGGGCACGCAGCAGTGCCATCAGTCACCCGCTGTGTCCGCCGTATGCAGTGGGTAACAGCTCTTTGTACCAGGACGGTACTCTGTGATCGCTGTTGCCAATCAACAGTGATAACATGTCAAATGTTCACAATGAATGACTTTCTATCATAGCCATTCATTGCATATTATTGTGATCTCTGGGATTGGTTACAGGGATCATAATGTACATACAGGGCCAATCACAGCACATCTGTGCTGTGATGAATCACAGCTTTCACAATTGTACATAACAGCACATGAACAGATTTGATTCATAAAAATGTTTGCTTATAACAATCACCACTGTTAAAAGCAATATAAGCAATCCTAATGCAAAAAGAAAATCCCAACAACCTCCCCAGATTAGTACAGTGTCACTATAGTAATATCGCACTGCTCTAGTCACATTACGGAAAAAAGAATCTGCAAAAAAAAAAAAAAGTTAAAAAGTTGAAAAGAAAAAAAAACAAAACAAAAAACAAACGTTTAATGTAGCCATATGCAGTCTGTTAAGCAAAGAATGCTGATGATTTTAAGCATTATTTGAAATATTTGCAGGATTTCTGATTTGATAAAGCAATGAGCTCCCCCGGAACTCAGAGGGGTTTCTTATTGGACAGGGACATTGTCCAACCTCTGATTCTAAATTTCACTCTTTTGTAGAAAAGAGTGAAGGAGAACATAACATGTGCAGCATCATGAATGGATAAATCTTTACCAGTCATACTTGGAAAGCCATCTGTCCATCTATGACCACCGTAAGACTTGCTCTTAAATAGACTCTACACACAGAAACAAGGCTTTTAAAGACTTAATTATTACAATTAGATGATATTAGTGATCTCTTGAACACATTTATACACGCGCACGCACGCACGCACACACACACACACACACACTATTATTTCTGCCCCCTTCCATATGCTTAATAATGTTTAATGAACAATAAATATCACTGTGTGCTGCAACTGCTCCTTTATTTTTGGTGGTTTTCACAGAAACACCTGGCGATGTACACAAAATTTACTTTGATTAAAAATAAGTCACACAGATATCAGAGTTCTCTGTGAGCATTGTATGGAGACAGCAGAGCAACAAAAATTGCTCATTCTGTAGTTCCCCCAGCGTCCACACCGTGTCTCTGTTCCATTACATTGGAGAATCACATATCCATCCTCTCCAGGCAGGGTATAATTCAGTATATAAACAGAATCACACATACTTGTGTCATCAGCTTGTCGGAGTACATGAGTTCTATCGTCCGGTGTATTCTACCAATGCTGTCCTGTAGGTCTGTAAAAAGAGCAGTGTGTTACTGTAAATGACATCACTTGACCTAGCAATGCTTCGTTAGCTGAACAGCTAATAATGTGTGATTTGTTAAGACCGTGCAAATTTTTCTGTTGTCTGGTGCTGAACTATACTTGAAAACAATAATTATATTAAGCCAGCTCAGAGCATAATTTCATATGCTGTCCACTGCTATAACTCCAATGCACAGGCTTGGCAATGGACTCTCAAGTGGGGTGTATAGTAAGGCTGCTATGCAATTACATATGATCCCATTTTATTTAATTTTTATTACCGGTTTGCTCTTTGGAAGATCTATACATTTTGAATGCATGAGGATGCATTGTAAGCATTTATACATCTATGTGACATTCTCTTGTCTAACTATGACATAAAAACAAATATAGATTTTACAAAAAATTACATTCAAAGGCTTGTAAAAGAGCATTTAGGTATGCTTTTGACATTTTTATTTTTAGTTACAACACAGTCCATTGGAAGTAATTGCAGAAACCACCTTTTCAAAAAGTGAAAGCTTTTTGGAGTGCATGTGTACAATGACTTACAATTACATGACCTGAATTTGGTTTGGTATCTGTGTTGTGCAATCCTCTGTATAGTGCAGCCCTGACTAGGGAACAGTAAAAGAAAACAAAGATGAAATCTCCAGTCTGCTCCTGCTACTCCTTTACTGTCCAGTCTCAGGCTGGAGGAGGGACAAGATCTGCGAGTGTTGCTTATTGCCAGCAGAGAAAAATCAGGACTCCTGCCTTGCCAGAGAGGGTTGTGCTGTGTGGCAGAGTGGTGTAAATCACAGAACTGGATAGACAGAAGTACATAGCTTTGTCAGGTAAAAACTCCTATAGATGTCTTTTAATTTTTATATTCAGCTGTCTGCCTGAAACTATGCTCAGCTCAGCACTAGAATGCAGTGTGGGAAACCTGTGGTCTCAGGTGGTTTCCCGCACCGTATTCCAATTGCAGTACCCATGCAATCTTCAGCAAGGGTCAATGCAAAGTTAATGACACCCCATAACGCAGGTCGCAAACGCAGGGCATTTGCCCGCACTGGATCGCATGGCACAAAAAGTACAATGCAATCCAGTTCCAGTGTGTTTCAAAAATTAGTGCATGCACTACTTTTGGTGCGGTGCTATTTCAGCCTATTCAAAATTAATGGGCTGAATCCGCACTGCACAGAACTGCGTGTGAATCGCACAGCGTTCCTGTGCGATTTGAAATAAGAGTTCCTAGTGTGAATGGGCCCAAAGATATCTATAAATGATCATACAACACTTTACACATAGACTTTCATATATCTGCCCCATGATACTGTGGAGAGAGTGCACGATTAGCTATTGAGGAGCCACAGCAGAATTTCCTGAGTCACCTAAAAAAAAAACTGGAGCCTTACTTGCAAAACATCTTCGGCAACTATTCAGTTATAGCAATCTTACAAAAAACAGTAAGCCTTATTCTCCAAAATATCAAAAAAGCACTGTCTGAGGTGTGCTGCAATAGAAGAAAAATGGAACTGACGAGCTACTATGGAGACAATGATACAGTTGTAGACAATATACTTCTTAGAAAGTTGGGAGGTCAGAATTCTTTAATTGAAACCTATTAAGCAACAAATTCCTGCATCTACACACCTCTAGTGTCCGTTTCCACCTCCGTCCTCCAGCGGTGTAAACACCCTTCTAATACTGTCAGTTCCTCGTCTGTAATATGGCGCGGAGCTGGGTGCATAGGTAGATCTGGAGGTATTCTGGACTGCGTGAATGGTTTGTGAATAACGGAACGCTGGTTGGACTGAGGCTCACTGGATGAAGAAGGCCCTTGATGTTCCATTGTGCTAGAATTAAGAAAATCGTATTTAATCAGTCAACCAATTAGCGATACACAAATCGTGATGCAATGGTAGGTCTATGGTTCTGCCTTATCAGGATAAGTGGTCCATATATGACGCTGGCTGTAATATTCTTTTGAACTACTGAACAGGAATTTTAATATGTTACAGTTTTTTTTTTTTTTTTTTACACATTTTCTGATACTGTACTACAGCCCTAACAAAAACATAGAAGAGTGAGGGCAGAAAAACATCAAGTGGGCTATAAAGTATGAGTAGGTTTGTCAAACCATGTTCAAATTTGCTTACTGTGTTCCAAGCATCAACTACTCTCTCCAAAATAAGATTTTCAAAGGTCACTTTTTGGCTTTCCTTCTGCTAGCTTTTGGACATGTGCCCAAGTTATTGATCTCAGCTTCACGAAAATACTGCCCTCCTGAATCGTATTCACACCCTTAAAGTGGTTGTAAAGGCAGTCTATGTATGAAGGTTAAAAAAAAAACAAACACTTGTGTGCAGTGCAGCAGCCCCTCCAACACTTACCCGATTCCCATCGCGATTCAGCAATGTGCATCAAGAGACCTGACTCTCTGAGCCAATTAGGAGGGGGGGGCAGGGGTGAGTCCCAGCTCTTGTGTGTGAATGGAAGCTCAGAGCAGCATCTTGGGAGCAAGCCTGCCTGAGTGCCCCCATAGCAAGATGCTTGCTCTGGGAGCACTCGGCAGGATGGAGGAGCCAGGCGTGCCATCGGGTGACCTGAGAAAAGGTTACTTACTTTGTTTTTTTTTTAATTGCCTTTAATATAATTTTAATGTATTTGAAGCTTGCCTCTTTACCTTTTTCCTCTAGACTGTACATATTAAGCCCATGTAGTCTCTCCTGATATGTTACATCCCTCAGCTTACCACTGTTTTGGTTACCAGTCTCTAGACTTGTTCAATCCTAGCAATATCTTTTGTAAGTGAGGTTTTTAGAACTGGACACAGTATTCTAAATGAGTTCTAACTAAAGACCTAGATGGGGAATCAGGACCTCCTTCCTCCTGGTAACCCTCTAGTGATACAACACTCTGGAATTCTATTTACATTCCCCCAATACCAGGCCACAATGTTCGCTCATTTTGCAACCAATGGAAATAAGCACCCTTCCATTAGCTTTTTATTACATATAAACCAAGTTGTAAATACATTTAGTGCCCATTACGAATTCACAAACAAGACAGGAAAAAAAAAAAAAAAAAACTAAAAACTTAAGCCTTTCTGATGCGAAAACATTATGTGCCTGCTTTACCTTTGCATGGGTTGTGTGACCAAGGGACCACTAGGTGGAGCACTTGTATCAATATCCTCCACAGGGGAAGTGCAGACAGGTTTGCTAGATGCAAACTCCAGGGCATATTGTAACACATCAGCCAGAGGGAACCGTTTGGGGCCAGAGCCATAACTTAAATACCTGTTCATTTGAAACACACAAAAAAAAAAAGTTGTTTCAATAGTTAAACAGTTCTAGGAATATGATCAAAAAATAAAATTAGAGAATTAGATGAAAAATGTTAAAGCTAAATTTATTTTAATCAGCACAAGGGACAATACCGGCGTTGAATGAGGTGTTCCTTGAACTGATGGCTGCTTTTGCCTCTTACGACTTCAGTCTTCTAATACAACACCATTCATCCACCCCCCCCCCTCCCCCAAACATTCCCCCACAGTGGCAATCCTCCAGTGCTGCAGGGGATAAATAATGCAAGCCACAGGATCTGTCATAGGCTCTGGTCAAGACTGCTCACTATGCCGCCTCCTCCATTCATAGAAGCTGTACTACCGCTACTAACAATCAAAAGCACTCGCTGAATAGAGGATAGACGAAAGCTCCACCTTTGTCAATCACAGAGCCCTTTTCATTGCAGGAAACTCTAGCACAGCTTTCAAAAATGGAGGAAGGGGAGGAAAGCCTTTTAAAGGTCCAGTGGCTCATATTTGCCCAACAGCAACGGAAAATGACTGCTGCTGGGGTATGCGAGGAGGGGGTGGGATGCCAGAGGACTGAAAATTTAAAAGAGCCGCCCCCAGGACAAGATACACTTCTCATTCAATGTACGTACCGTCCCCTTGTGCTGATTTAAACAAAAATAGTTACATTTAGGCTGACAGTGAATGTATAGTCTATTCCATGATTGTTTCAGTTACACGTGTAAAAAGAGAGAAAAATAAATACATTGTAATCTTTATATAAATACCATATTATCCATGTGTATAAACATCTGTCTTTGGATTTAAGTGGAATGTACCTTTCTAGCCGCTGCTGTAAAACTGTCAGGTGCTCTTTCAGTCTCTTGATCTCGTCTCGTTTGAGCCGGGTAATCTCCCTGTTTTTGTGCATATATCTAAAAATACAGAAAGTAAATAAGATGATTTTACAATGGATTTCCCATACTGTAGGTGGAGAAAGGTGGAGACCAAGCAGCATTCTACACATTCCTAGTTTAAAGGATCAACAATTCCAAGCAAGCACTGGAGAGAAATGAGACCATGTGCTACCACAGACAATAGCAGAAAAGGAACAATACAGCTGGATACTGGCTGGCATTTAGGCTACCTGGCAACTTGGATTTATTCAATCCTGAAAAGCCCAATGTCATGTCTAAAACACTGAAGGTCTGGTCCTTAAGACACTGAATGTTCTCCCTATTGCTGGATACAGCTATATTCATTGGTAATTTGTTAAAGAGCACAACAACAATGCTCATCTCATTTGGATTCTGTGAGAAGCAGAAAAAAAAAAAAAAAAGGCACATTATCAGGACAGGAGTCTGACTATTCTAAATCCCAATGGCCATAAATCATATCTCATATACCACGGCTTTAGTAAGGTTTTTATTTGGTGTACATACACAGTGACCGTATTTAGTTGATTAGGCATAAAAAGACAAAATCTACTATCCTTAAACGGCAAGTTCATCTTTAAAAAAAAAAAAAAAAAAAGAAAAAAAACACAACATTAAAATGCACATCTTTGTGCAGGTAAAAAAATGTGCATTTTTAATAATTTTTTTTATTAGGAGCCAGCAGATAGCGGGTGCAATCTCAGGCTTCTGCAGAGTGTCAGTGTAACTGTCCACCTACACCTCACATGGGCAGGCAGTTACTGAATGACAGGAAGGATCAATGAACTATGCAATGGTTGACGTTATTTGTTCTCCCATTCACAGAACTCTAAGTGAATGGTGTGACCAGGTAGGCAGAGCACCACAAAGCCGTGTTTTTGTTTTTGTTTTTTTTTTTTTTTTAATTGTGACAGCGAGAGTGCGGAGAAGATCCTGCTATCACAACAGGTCCTCGACGGGGGAGTTTATGGAGGTGGGGGCCGCTCAACATGTTACTAAAAGTGAATGTATCCTTTAAACTTTGTTTAGAGCCATGATATCCTCCATGCAATTAGAACACCTCCAAATGGCCCAGTGGAAGAACATATATGCAACGTTCTACATAGACAGATATTTGCAGTTCCATTCTGCACTTCCCATACTATACTGTATACCCAGAAAGGTTTGCCACTATTCAGAGCCTGTAGCTCCCCAGCTTCCTATGTCCTCTGTCTGCCTCCAGGATGATTAGTAAACCAAACTGGCAAAGTTCTCCATATTCTCTGCCCTCCTTTAAGCTGTTTGATCACAAAACCATGCAGCCTTGAAACAGGTTAAGTTGATGGCTGCGCACAAATAGGGCACAATTAGACCTCATGCACATGGGTCCCTGTGCCTATAAAACAAACTTCGGGTGTACAGGAGCTGCGTACAGGTGCCCACAAAAAACAATGGCTGTGTGTAGGTATGTGTTCACACTTGCATAAACACGTGCATAGATGTGCGCCCCTGGATTTAGACAGCCAGCGTCCATGGTCATATAGCCATACGCATTTGCATGTTTATGCAGTGTATACCCATATGTAGTGAATATCTATGGCCAGCTGTACACATGACTTGTGGCTCCTGGACAGAAACATATGCCCAGTTTTTACACAGTACAGCCCCAGGAGCCCATGTGCATGAGCCTAAAACTGATTTCCCATATGCAGTAAGTTATTAGAAATTCTATGAAGATAGATTGATTACAGGTGCATATACAGGTTGAATTTCAAAAATGATTTTTAGTTTCACTTATCTTTAATACAGTCCTTACTTTCTCTATATCCATGATGTCCCCCTTGTGCCTTGTATCAATGAATTCACCCTTCCCTGCACCCATTGAACTTACCGGGAATACTTTATAGGCATTGGGGGTTATTTACTAAAACTGGAGAATGCAAAATCTGGTGCAGTTCTGTACAGATACTGATCAGTTTCCAGGTTTTACTGCCAAAGCTTAAAGTGGTTCTAAAGGCTCAAGGTTTTTAACCGTCATGCATTCTCCGCTTGAACTTAAAAGAAAAAAAAAACCCCACCCCCAATTCTTACCTGAGCCCCTTCAGATCCAGCGATGTTCACAATAGCCTGTAAGGGGACTCTCCCTTCTCATTGGCTGAGACAGCAGGAGAAGCCCACTGGCTCCCGCTGCTGTCAATCACAGCCAGTGAGCCAATGAGGACAGAGAGGCAGGGGTGAGGCCGAGCCATGGCTCTGTGTCTCTTATGGAAGCATAGAGCACCGGCTCAGGAGCTGCTGGGGGCACTGCTCGAGGGAGAGGTTCCAGAGTGCTAGCGGGGGACATAAAAAAAACAAACAAGAAAAAAAAAAAAAAGGAGGAGAATCAGGACAGCTGTGTGCAAACCTACTGCACCAAGCAGGCAAGTATGACATATTTGTTACTTTGAAAAAAAACAAAAAAACAAAGCTTTATCACTTAAGAAGCTGAAGTTAGAAGCGGATTGGCTACCATGTACAGCTGACCAGATTCTGAGTGCTCCAGTTTTAGTAAATCTTCCACAGAGTGTCTAGAACTCAGCAGCACAGGAAAGATGAGAACACAAGACAGGAAAAGTTGCCGCCAGAGAATCTCTCACGCACAGCACACAGGAATGTACAGAAAAGTGCCTGTGCGGTCGAACCTCCATAGCGTGAACAGAGCCTTACCTTTCCTCCTGCAAGCAATGAATTGTGCAGGCTATGGAGGCATTCATAACCTTAACTACTTTCTCAGCAGTGCTCACAACCAATATGAATGATGTGGGTACTTACCTATCCATGTATAGACATGGTGGAAACTCCAGCTTGTTGTGGATTTTCTCAGGCCTTCCCAATGCTTGATTAAATTCAAACCTGGACAGCTCAAATGTCAGTACAGGTGGAAGTTCTGTGAACCAGTGCTGTCACAAATAAAGCACAAAAATAATACAATTTACTTTGACCTATAGTACATGCAAATGTGTGTACATTACCTACCCTCAAGAGATTCTGACTGCTCCATTCATACTCATCTTTCAGGAGAACATAAATCTATAGTCAGATGCTTATATATTCATAGAGAGAGAGAGAACATTTGGCTGGACGTGGACTTTTTTTATTTTTTCAGTTGAAATGTTTGTGAACCTCTCCTTGTTATCTCTTTTGGTCAGATAAATTTAAAAGCATTTTGTTAGATCCATTTGATAAGTGCAAAAAATACCTTTTGGTCCTGCCAGAAATTCAGCATGTTTCTGACTTCCAGTAGTGAATGCTCCACTTCTCAAATATTATCAGCCCTACATGAGTACTCTGTGTGGACTACAGAACACCCCCCCTAAGTTATGAAAATTAGGTTAGGGGGTCACTTTAGGATAGGAAGTGTGTTAGTGGCAGGATCACCACTAAAAAAAATATAGTTTAAAAACACATGAACATAAAAGTAATATACCTACCACATCTTAGTGGTGCAATTTAATTTCAAGTTGCTGGCTAAATGTATTCATATATGGGTGCAAGTTGCTGTAAGTTTCCAACACGGTCATAAAACCGCCTGATCATGTGTTGACATAGCAATTGCTATTCTTTATTTTTTTTCTATTGGTATCTTTATTCCTGTGTTTTTAGTGCCTTCATATTGCAGTGTTATACCTTGGAACTAATTCTTGATGCATTTTAAATATTTCTGAATGCTTGCTTATCTACTATATCCAACTTGTGTACTGCATATGGAGACTGGAAGAGTAACCAGTAGAAGTTGCTCTTTTTTTGATTTGTTTTTATTCAGAACTCCTTGCTTACTAACTGTTGAGAGAAGATACATATGGTGTGCATTGTTATTAAGTCACCAGGCTAATAGATTTTCACTGTAACAGAGCTGTAATGCAGAACTACTGTATAGCACTGCAAAGATGGAAGCAGAACCTGCATATATCACCGTGCACAGATAAAACTGCAAACAACACCACAGAAACACATTCTCAAAACATTACCGTATTGATGGCATTATTTTTATGAAGCGGACATTGCTTAGCCACTGCGTCCTAATAAGACACAAATGGGACGGTCTGCATGTGGATGCACTGAACACCAGCTCAACCCATGCAAGCAAAGATGGTCCTTCGCACAGGTGTACGGAGAGGTACACCCATGTGAATGGGACCTAAATTAACAGCATTTATCTTATCCACCTACAATGCACAGGATGGACATATATTCAGGTAGCAAACCAAGCAATTTCAGCTTTTCCTGCACTGACGATATTTAACAAATCAGCTAGGAACATGTCACAGGCACAATGAGAAGCGCTCATAAACAAACCCTATATATACAGTCAGGTCCATAAATATTGGGACATCGACACAATTCTAACATTTTTGGTTCTATACACCACCACAATGGATTTGAAATGAAACGAACAAGATGTGCTTTAACTGCAGACTGTCGGCTTTAATTTGAGGGTATTTACATCCAAATCAGGTGAACGTGTAGGAATTACAACAGTTTGCATATGTGCCTCCCACTTGTTAAGGGACCAAAAGTAATGGGACAATTGGCTTCTCAGCTGTTCCATGGCCATGTGTGTGGTATTCCCTCATTATCCCAATTACAATGAGCAGATAAAAGGTCCAGAGTTCATTTCAAGCGTGCTATTTGCATTTGGAATCTGTTGCTGTCAACTCTCAAGATGAGATCCAAAGACATGTCACTATCCGTGAAGCAAGCCATCATTAGGCTGAAAAAAAACAAAACAAACCCATCAGAGAGATAGCAAAAACAACTGTTTGGAACATTCTTAAAAAGAAGGAACGCACCGGTGAGCTCAGCAACACCAAAAGACCCGGAAGACCACGGAAAACAACTGTGGTGGATGACCGAAGAATTCTTTCTCTGGTGAAGAAAACACCCTTCACAACAGTTGGCCAGATCAAGAACACTCTCCAGGAGGTAGGTGTATGTGTGTCAAAGTCAACAATCAAGAGAAGACTTCACCAGAGTGAATACAGAGGGTTCACCACAAGATGTAAACCATTGGTGAGCCTCAAAAACAGGAAGGCCAGATTAGAGTTTGCCAAACGACATCTAAAAAAGCCTTCACAGTTCTGGAACAACATCCTATGGACAGATGAGACCAAGATCAACTTGTACCAGAGTGATGGGAAGAGAAGAGTATGGAGAAGAAAAGGAACTGCTCATGATCCTAAGCATACCACCTCATCAGTGAAGCATGGTGGTGGTAGTGTCATGGCGTGGGCATGTATGGCTGCCAATGGAACTGGTTCTCTTGTATTTATTGATGATGTGACTGCTGACAAAAGCAGCAGGATGAATTCTGAAGTGTTTCGGGCAATATTATCTGCTCATATTCAGCCAAATGCTTCAGAACCCATTGGACGCCGCTTCACAGTGCAGATGGACAATGACCCAAAGCATACTGCAAATGCGACCAAAGAGTTTTTTAAGGGAAAGAAGTGGAATGTTATGCAATGGCCAAGTCAATCACCTGACCAGAATCCAATTGAGCATGCATTTCACTTGCTGAAGACAAAACTGAAGGGAAAATGCCCCAAGAACAAGCAGGAACTGAAGACAGTTGCAGTAGAGGCCTGGCAGAGCATCACCAGGGATGAAACCCAGCGCCTGGTGATGTCTATGCGTTCCAGACTTCAGGCTGTAATTGACTGCAAATGATTTGCAACCAAATATTAAAAAGTGAAAGTTTGATTTATGATTATTATTCTGTCCCATTACTTTTGGTCCCTTAACAAGTGGGAGGCACAAACGCAAACTGTTGTAATTCCTACACCATTCACCTGATTTGGATGTAAATACCCTCAAATTAAAGCGGACAGTCTGCAGTTAAAGCACATCTTGTTTGTTTCATTTCAAATCCATTGTGGTGGTGTATAGAGCAAAAAATGTTAGAATTGTGTTGATGTCCCAATATTTATGGACCTGACTGTATATACACACACACATATATACACACACACACACACACACACACACACACAGACACATATATACACGTGCACACACACAAATCATAAAAGCCTACTTTCGAAAAAATTTGATTAATTAAACTGCTGACACTCTCAACAGTGACAAATCTGCACAATGCAATTTCAAAATTAAAGTAGTTGGTAAAGCTCAGTAATAACATGCACCTATTTAAATACATATATTTATGCAGTTCAAAAATCCATCTTTGTTTTTTTTATAAAACTTGCCAATAATTGGTTTTTCCGGCTTGCAAAGGCAGGTCACATAATCGCGGTTTATTCCAGAGCGAGTGTACAATCCAAACACACACGTTCCTGCGTTAAAAGTGGGTGCTGCAGCAACCGTCGACTAGAACCGAACAGAATCAGCAAAGGAGAATGTCACCAGCACATAAACGATCACCACGTCACATGCCTGATGAAGGGGTCCTGTGAGACTCCGAAATGTTGCCTTGCTGTAACTATATGATCATTCATTTAAACTTTTGGACCCATATTGGTGATCCTCGGTGAGCTGGTGACAGTCTCCCTAGCTTATTCCAGGGCGATTCACGGACCTGCAGTTGGGAGTCCAAGAAGCTAGGAATTCAAGTAATTGCAGGAAGTGACTTTTGCCACCCAGTGTCAACGTTTCCATGGTAATGAGAAGCAATCGCACTGGGTAGCATGACATCACTTCTCCCCTTTCCCTGCCGTTTCACAATCAGTCAAGGGAGGAGTGTGGATTTGTTTGCTACCACAGAGTGCCTGTATCTTAACAGCGGAATGACAGAGAATGTAAACGGACCACGTGAGCATGGGCCGGCTGCCATGTTTAGTGCAGTCAGTTTAAAGAGACAGAAAAAATATTTTTTGTTTTTAAGTTTACAAACACTTTAAACAAAAAGCCAGCACACATGGGAAAGTCCAGGTCACTCCAACAACTTTTGGCTGTTTTTCAATCTTAAGCCAGCCATAGATAATGCGATTTTCCACGGGTTGCAGGAAAGAAAATCGCTCGATTCCCCCATCAACAGCTATTGTGTTCTCCTGGAAAGGAGGCACAGGGGGAGGGAATATGGGGGGAGTCGTCCATGTCAGGAGAACACAGCAATTATTTCTAGCAACTATAGTTGCTGGCAATGATCGCATGAAAAATCCAACAGGCTGATTGTACCCAATTCGTACGACAATCAATTTGGGTACAGTCAGCCTTTCCCTTAGATGGTTCGAATCTCGGCCGGTCCCTGCTGAAACAACCGAGATTCAAATCATCTATGGCCAGCTTTAAACTATTGACTGGATCAAGGAAACACACCAACAGTTCATATATTACCATGCTTATCTTTATATGGTGGGGACAGTAGTAAACTGCATGGATATGTTTGAAGATTTCTGCTGAGTCTTGAGTTGGTGTGTATAGGTAGCAGAAAGATTAATATAAAGTGCTAACACTGTACCAGTGCTCAGCCACCGGTCTTACAAACAGGAAACCAAAGAGAATTAACAGTTTGATTTGAAAATGAATAGGTTATTTCAGAGCAACTACAGAGTGAACCAGAAGATGGATGATGTATTACATGAAGGTAGGAAATCAGTAACAAAGACATGTAAAGATGTTTTGCCCAGAGTTCTGCTTTAAGAGACACTAATGTTTTGGAGGGTGACAAATGCAAACAGTTTGCAATCCTAGTATAGATAACTAGGTCCCCAGTATTTCTCACCTCTTGACCAGACTTGCTTGAGTTTTCTGAATGCAATGACTCGATCTCGCCCTCTATCATGGCAGCCTCTAGGCATTCATGCAAGTCTTTGAATCCGTTCACCTGGAGAGGATACTGCCCAAACATCTCCGTGTTTTCAAATTTCTTTCCTTAGAAAGAGAATCAAACATCAACAAGGACAGGAACCAAAGCACACTTGAAATCAGGTCATCAAAATATCTCCCCATACTAATACCTTTAATAAGCTATCCCCTATCTTCAGGGAAATGTGTATTTCCAAACATTCTCATTTTATCGGTGTGTGAAAGATGAACTTGCCTACTGCAACTTGTAGCCATAAGCAAGAGACAGAGGGTTCATCATTCTGAATTTTGATAAAATAAACAGAAAAACAAGTTTCCCATGTACTTGCTGGTGAAAAGCTTTTGCCTGTAAACATCTTTTGTAGAGGAGGACAAGGCTTTTCTATGTGACATCAGTTCCATAATATCTGAGGAATGCCAAGACAAGTACCCTTGTCACTGTTAATTCTCCATGAAGTGTTCCGGAAGCAGCCAGCCCTCATCCCCCAGGAAGAAACAACTACAATGTAATACTGTTTCTTAACCAAGTGATCTCAGATTTCAAAAATCAGAAAAGAACTAAAAATAGTCAACATCCCCACAGCTAAGAAATCCTTGGGGTCCTCTGTTCACTCAAACATCCAATAATGGCAGAGAGGCTCTTCAATGTAAAAGGGCTGCATATCAATAAAAATATCTGTATCTGTATTGTAGTGAATGCCTGAAATTTGACTTGGGTTTTAGTGCAGACTTCTGAGAAAAGCAATATACTGATGACACATGCAGTAGTTAAAATTGTTAGGAGCATTCTGCACACCAGTGATGTACGGAATATGCCTGCAGGAGGTAATCTTGCAAGGAAGCAACATTTGAATCCTTGACTGGGAGACACAGGGGAATGGTAATGTTGGGTTCTCAGCTGACTTTGCGAGACCATCCCTCTGAAACAGACATGTGTTTAGCAGCTCCAGTAGCACACAGGTAAAAATCTACACTCTTCCTTTCCAGGGTATGTGTTTCTGCACATTTACATCACATTACAGGGTCACTTTAGGGTTCAGGATAGGAATGTTGCCATAAACAGCTGTATACACATGCATCCATACAATTGAAAAAAGCCCATTTAGCATAGTGAACTGTGAAACTGCACAATTGGCTAAAAATATCACCATCAGCAGTCAAGACTACACTTAAAAATTTCATTGGGAAACTCCACTATGGCAGCCAGTGACCCATTGAAAGCCACACTGCTGGTAAAAATCACAGACATCAAACCACATGCATCTGAAACTGAGATTTGTCCAAATTTTACACATACATACATATATACATACACACAACAATCAGCCATACCAATATGACCACTGACAGGTAAAGTGAGCAATGGATTATTTTGTTACAATGGTACTTGAAGGTGGGTGGGATATATTAGGCAGCAAGTGAACATGCTGTCCCTGAAGTTAATGTGTTGAAAGCAGAAAAAATGAGCACACGTAAGAATTTCAGCAACTTTGCCAAGGACCAAATTGCAATGGCTAGAGATGACTGGGTCAGAGCATCTCCAAAACTTCAGTTCTTGTGCAATGTTCCCGGTCTGCAGTCTCACCTACCAAAAGTGGTCCAAGGAAGTAAAACCGACGACAGGGTCATGGATGGTCAAGGCCCATTGATGCACGTGGGGAGCAAAGGCTGGTTTGTATAGTTCGATCCAATATAAGAGCTACTGTAACTCAGATTGCTGAAAATATTAAGGCTGGTCCTGATGGAAAGGTGTCAGAACACACAGTGGATTGCAGTTTGTTACATACCGGGCTGCATAGCCACAAACTGGTCAGGGTGCCCATACTCACCCATATCCGCAGCCAAAAGCATCTACAATAGACATGAGAACATCCGAACAGGACCATGGAACAAATTGAAAGGGTGGCCTGAACTGATGAATCATGTGTTCTTTTACAGCATGTGGATGGCTGGGTGTATGCAAGTCATTTACTTAGGGAAGAGATTGCGCAAGGATGCAATATGGGAAGTCCGATACATTAAGGCCCCACTTTGCAGCTTATAGGACTTAAAGGATCTGGGCTGTTGTTGGCTTTGGTGCCAGATTCCACAGCATACCTTCAGAGGTCTAGTGAAGTTCATGCCTCAATGGGTCAAAGGGGGATCTACTCATTATTAGGCGCGTAATCATAATTCTGTGACTGATTGGTGTGGCATACACACACTAAATATGGCCAAACGTTTGGGATACCTGACTATCAGACCTATATGAGCTTGTGGGACATTCCAGAACAATGGATAATATAGAGTAACAGAGGTGAGGGATTGAACTTCACACAGTCTATTTAATCCAAATGTAAAAATGAATGAGCTGAGAAGTGAAAATCATGCAACTTTCCCCTCTGTGTAAGAAAGTGGAAAGAGTTTTATTGTATCTTGAAGAAACAATTTAAGCATCAAGTAGAGCAGGTTTTCACTCTGAAGACAGTTTTTGCGACCGTTCCCATGAAACAGATACCAACCTTCATGAACACCCACTGCCAGGAATCGTCCATAGAAGAGCTCCACCATTGGGTTCTTTGGCTTTTCTCCATCCCTGGGGAAAATAAAATCACAAAGGATGTTGCAATTTAACATTACATGAACTAATGAACTATGGCAAAGACACACCAAACAATCATATTTTAGCTTTCATTATCTAACCTAGTCAGAAATCTTGAAACAAGCAATCTCACTGATTCCTATGGGCACATTAACCTTATTTTCGGTTACAAAGAGTATAATAGACAAGTATTCTTCCAATGCACTAAAGTAGCATAGAAATCTTTTTGCAAAAGGCAATATTTACAGGTTTATAAATTGTATTACAAGTTTATGAAAAGGTTATCTTTGTAATTTTAAAAAATGGTGACGGGAGAAAGAGCCTACCGTTTAAGACCCATCTGAAATTGCTAGTTTTCTGGCAATCAAGGACAACCCTAAGGCTTCAATACTTATAGTCATTGACCCAAAACAAGTATACAGATAAATATCAAACATTTCTATTCTACATATTTTTTGGGTTGGCGACAGTCAGGCAGCGGAAGCAGGGGTGGAGTCTATATACAGATACTAATGTTAACTTGGGTCACAAAGATAATTAAAATGATTTAGGGGCAAATGTATAGCGGACAGTTGACTAAGCTATCCGCTGGACACCACACTGCTTACTCCACATTGCTCCTTTTTACGAGAAAACACTGCAGAGAACTCTGTATTTGGAGGAAAGGCCGGTCAAACAACTGGGCTCTCTCCACTTTCCAAATGGTTTCTTTTGTTTAATTAATATGAATGATGCTCCACTTACTTTTGCAAAGCATGGACAGCATAATGGACACTACTGTTCTACATAAAAGTGCATTTTTATTATTAATGCAAAAGCATAGCTATCATAAGGCCAAACATATGCTTTATAACTGAGGGCCTAAGTGAGGAATCTATTAAAAGGTTTAGTACTGTCTGACACAATCACTGTCGGTGACAATGAAGCCCTGTGCTTGCTGTGAGAAGCAAAGCAAAAGCTTTCCAACCACCACAAAGTCGATGTGAGAGTTCTTGAATAACCTTCTCTACGGAGAGTAGAGTAAATGCTTTGACATGTTACTGCTGCTTCATTATCCCTCTCGCCTCCAGTGTAATGTGCATGTCGCTGAGCTCTTCAATTGTCAGGAAATGTTCGCAGCCCAAGGGCAGCGCCATGATCTTTATGGAATTGCTAAACAGTGAAAAAGCCAATTATAAGAACAAAAGTGATCGCTTGCAGAGCTGAATCCACACTAACCCTCACAGAGCAGAGTGAAGCCTCCAAAATGTTCAAAGGAAGGAAGTGACAGACGTGTATGGGATGTTTCTCTGTCACAGCTACAAGTGCGACTATTTGCTGCAAAACAGAGGACTCCCTTCTATTCTCTGCATGTTGTCAGTGTTCTTGGAAAAATGGTACAAACTAGAATCGGGAGCCCTTTCAAAAAAGGTGCAACTGCAATTACCGGTAAGCTAGGCCAGTAAGCAAATACTGCTGGGACCAGAGGCTGGAAGTGCTTTGTACTTTTATATCAGTTTTTATCTAAGCTCATTAAAGTATCGGATGTAAACCCTGACACACACTGCTTGATGCAAGCTAAATATCATTCAAAGACTTGACATTTTTCTTTCCAAGGGTACCATGAAAAAAGTGCCACAGTAGGTTCAAGAACACGATTTTGATCTTCTACTCCAGTACGAGTGTATACATTACTGGACAATCAAAATCATACAGTACTATGCAGACTAGAATCCCTACATCAGTTTGAATATAAAGGAACTTCTCAAAACAAGAGAACAACCATGGTAAAACAACGAGTATGTCTCCAAAGGACCAACCCAAGCTGGTGACAAAAAATAAGTGGAGGCTATATACACTTCAGTTCCCAAGTTGTGATAAATAGAATGTATATGCCAAACTGTCTATATCACAGCCGACATAACAGGACTGAATTTAGAGTGAGGGAAAAACCCGCAGTGGATGGTCTTGTACAAAACGTCTTCCAAGGCTGTCAGTGTCTTCTGGAAGGCCTCAAGTTTGTTCAATAATGTACAGGTGCATCTCAAGCTAGAATATCATCAAAAAGTTAATTTATTTCAGTAATTCAATTTATTAACTGAAACTCCTATTATATAGATTCATTACACACGTAGTAATATATTTCAAGCATTTCTTTCTTTTAATTTTGATGATCATGGCTTAACTAATGAAAACCTAAAATTCAGTATCTCAAAATTAGAATATTGTGAAAAGTTCAATATTGTAAACTCATGGGGGTTTATTTACTAAAGCTGGAGAGTGCAAAATCAGACTCACTTCTGCATAGAAACCAATCAGCTTCCAGGTTTCATTGCCAAAGCTTCATTGAACAAGCTGAGGTTAGAAGCTGATTGGTTTCTATGCAGAAGGGAGTCTGATTTTGGACTCTCCAGCTTTAGTAAATAAACCCCATGGTGTCTCACTCTAATCAGCAAATTAACTCAAAACACCTGTAAAGGGTTCCTGAGCCGTTAAATGATTTCGCAGTCTGGTTCAGTAGGTTACACAATCACGGGGGAAGACTGCTGACTTGACAGTTGTCCAGAAGACAGTCACTGACACCTTCTACAAGGATGGTAAGTCACAAAATATCATTGCTAAAGAAGCTGGATGTTCACAAGAGTGCTGTACCCAAGCATATTAATGGAAAGTTGAGTGGAAGGAAACATTGTGGTAGAAAAAGGTGCACAAGCAACAGGGATAAACGCAGCCTTGAGAGGATTGTGAAGCAAAGGCCATTCAAGAATTCGGGGCAGATTCACAAGGAGTAGACTACGGCTGGTGTCAGTGCTTCAAGAGCCACCACACACAGACATATCCAGGACACTGGCTACAACTGTCACATTCCTTGCGTCAAGCCACTCCTGAACCAGAGGCATCGTCAGAAGTGTCTTACTTGGGCTAAGGAGAAAAAGGACTGGACTGCTGCTCAGTGGTCCAAAGTCCTCTTTTTGGATGAAAGTAAATTTTTCATTTCATTTGGAAATCAAGGTCCCAGAAGAAGAGTGGAAAGGCACAGAATCCAAGTTGCATGAGGTCCAGTGTAACGTTTCCACAGTCAGTAATGATTTGGGGAGCCATGTCATCTGCTGGTATTGGTCCACTGTGTTTTATCTAGTCCAAAGTCAGCGCAGCCCTCTATCAGGAAATTCTAGAGCACTTCATGTTTCCCTCTGCTGACAAGCTTCATGGAGAAGCTGATTTCATTTTCCAGCAGGACTTGGCACCTGACCACACTGCCAAAAGTACCAATACCTGGTTTAATGATCATGGTATCACTGTGCTTGATTGGCCAGATAACAAGCCTGACCTAAACCCCATATAGAATCTGTGGGGTATTGGCAAAATGAGACACACCAGACCCAACAATGCAGACGAGCTGAAGGCCACTATCAAAGTAACTTGGGCTTCCATAACAGCTCAGCAGTGCCACAGGCTGATCGCCTCCATGCCACGCTGCATTGAAGCAGTAATTCATGCAAAAGGAGCCCCTAGCAAGTATTGAGTGCATACTATACTGTACATGGACATACTTTTCAGTAAGCCAACATTTCTGTAATAAAAAAACCTTTTTTTGTTTTTTTTAATTAGTCTTATGTAATATTCTAATTTTCTGAGTTACTGAAATTTGGGTTTTCACTAGCTTCATGCCATAATCATTAAAATTAAAAGAAGGAAATGCTTGAAATATATCACTCCGTGTGTAATAAAGCTATATAATAGAGGAGTTTCACCTTCTGAACTGAATTACTGAAAAATTTACTTTTTGATGATATTTTCATTTGAGATGCACCTGTATTAACAATTTGTTCATTAATGTAAATTTCAGACAGCTTGGTAAAGACCATTGCACTTGGAAAATCTGTTTTTTCATTGTTTAACAAATGGTCCATCTAGCAGCCACAAACAAACTTTTTTTGTGTGACCAGGATAAACCAAGGCAAGGCGGTAGCACCATTCATAGTGTTAACCAAAGCAGTCTGCCAAAGAAAGTTAAACTTTAGTTTGGCTTATGCGGCTCCTACTCCCTCCGCTGGCAACGCCAGCTCCATGCACTCTGATGCTCTGGGATGGCGGGTCGGCAACCCGCGATTTGGGCTTGCTGACTTGCCATCCCAGAGCATGAGGTCACAGGCCACATCAGAGGGCTCCGTGGGCCATGGATCGAACGCCACTGCTTTAGGCACACTTTTAACTGCATTCAAAGTGCAAGTAAAAAACTGTACCAATGTTTTCACCTATGTAATTTAGAATATTGCATTTTAAAAAATCCTGGGTCCTTATTAAACCTCCAATTCCAAAAATGTTGGGGACACAGTTTAAAATCTACAAAAAAACGACCTGCAAATCTCATAAACCCATATTTTAGTTACAATAGAAAATAGAAAACATATCAAGTGTTTAAACTGAAAAAAATTAACCCTTTTGAGAAAAAAAATTAAAAGGTATTAAGTCTCCAAAAAGCTGACAAAGTAAATGGAACCAACCACCTTTTTCAACAATTTTACACACAAAACTTAGTGATATGCCTTTAGTGGAAACAAATAAAAGGTTTTGGGCTTTTGCGCCAAGACGCTAGAGTGTCAGATGGCCAATTTGACTTCTTTGTTGTGCTGCCAAGATGAAAACAGAACCTATTATTTGTAGGAAAGCTAAACTGAGGTGTCAGGACAAGCCACAGGTAAATTGTTAACTCAAGTTTAAAAAAAGGTCAATTCATTCCCATGAAGCTTGTACACATGGTAAAAAATGTTCCTTTACACTATAAATTGACATGAAAACAGGAACAGGTTCTGGGAGTATAAGAACACTGTCATCAATCCATGTGACACAGAAGAGAAAATAATAAGAATGTTCTTGTGTTTAATTCTCTGCATCATTTAATAAGGAAAATTCGAGTCTCAGCTTGCCCATCCTAATTCAATCCAAGCTACACAAGACAATGCCAAAAGGTACATCCCTCACCTTTCTTCCTCTGCCTTTATCTGGAACGCGTCCTCCAGCCAGTCCAGCAGTTTGTGGGTGAATTCACTTACATCTTGCTGCAGGAAACAAAGAAAACCCATCAGTGCTGCAATAAGATGGCAAAATAGAGAGGCTGAAAATAACTGCATCCATAATTGAACCACATTTCGCCGCAAATACAAAAAACATTTGTGAAACTAAATCAAATACTATGCAGGAGAGATAGCACTGTAATATGAAATTTATCTGCATCTGGAAAATCTCTACACTGATTGCTCAAAGCACATGCGATGCATACATGATTAGGCTAAAGGAAGTTACAGCCAAAGCCACAAAAATAGTTGTAAGGCTGACACTGGTAACAACCTCCATTTGATTCCTGTTAAAGGAATTATACACTGGGGTTGATTTACTAAAGGAAAATAGACTCTGCACTTTTGCAATTGCAGGTGCACTCATTTTCCTCAGAGCTTAGTGAATGTGGTGATTTCCATCATCGAATCATGTGCAAGCAAAAATGCTATTTTTTTTTCTAATTTTCCTTCCACCTGCTTCAGTATTCTTTACAAAGTGAAGCTTCACCACATTCACTATAATCTTGGGAATATACAAAGTGCACAGTCTATTTGCCTTTTAGTAAATCAACCCCAGTGTATCTAAATTGTACCGTAAAGTCCAATATCAACCAGAGTTTGAATACGCTGCCCAGTGCACTTTGTAAACTAATAGACCCAGACACATTGGGGTTTATTTACAAAGGCAAACCGACTGCGTACTTTGCAAGTGCAGTTGCTCCAAAGCTTAGTAAATGAAGGGGGAGCTCTGCTGACTTCCATCATCCACTCATGTTTAAGTAAAAATACAGGTTTTTTTTTTTTGTTTGTTTGTTTTATTTTCCGTGCATGTGATTGGGTATTCTTTGTAAAGTGAAGCTTTACCTAATTTATTGAGCTCTGGAGCATCTGTACTTGTAAAGTGCACAGTCATTGCCTTCAGTAAATCAACCCCACTGCCAACCCTCAAAAAAAAAAAAAAAGTCTGGTAAAAGGACACACATGCAGGGGAGATGCTGGCTATGCAGGAACAGAGCACTAGAGAAGGATACAGGATGCACATTTCCACAAAATGAAAAGGGTAGTTTAAAGCATTTTCAATAGAGACCAGTTCAAAATAATAAAATAATGCAGAAGATGACAACAGTGTAACAAAACATGTATGATACTTACTTTGGGCTTTAAACTACTTTTCAATGAACAGTAAAATACATTTAATACATGACACAGGATGGCAGATTCAGGCAGGTTAAAATCAAGTGTTAGAATTTTTCTTTTAAACCACTTTAGCAACATGCTATAGCCGAAAGACAGGCCACAGTGGGGCTCTCTTGTCTAGGAGGGCATCCATAGACATCCTCCCAGAACCCACCTTTCTAGTGCGATCTGTGACCACTATCATTGGACACTGCGGATCACAGATTGTGGTAAAGGGCCAATCACAGTTGCCCTTTACCATGTGATCACATGTAAAAAGACTTGTTGGTTATCGCTGTGTCTGTGTGAGGAAAGTACAGCCGATACCTGGCAAGACTGTCTGTACTTTGTTTGCACTGATCATCAATGCATCCCCATCAGTGCAGCCTGTGCCGCCTCATTAGTGCACATCAGTGAAGAAGAAAAATTATTTGCAAAAACAAAGAAAAGCTTTTTGTCTTCAATTTTTGGTCTCTTTTCGCTTGTTTAGCAAAAAAAAATAAAAACTCCCATTGGTGATTAAACATCACCAAAAGAAAGCTCGGTCTCCAAAAAAATTATATAAATTTCATCTGGGTACAGTGTTGAATGACCTTGCAATTGTCAAAGTGTGACAGCACTGAAAGCTAAAAATTGGCCTGGACAGGAAGGGGGTGAAAGTGCCCAGTATTGAAGTGGTTAAACATGGGGAGGTTAGGCATGGGTGAGGTGGAAGAGACTTTCTTTACTTGGAGATGGGCTTTAGGCTTCACATTGCCTTAAAATATGCATATAAAAGTGTTTTTCAATTACAGAACTGAACACCGCTACAATGCTGTCAATGGAGCCAATCACACAGGTGTGTAAACATGAGCTGCTTTCAAATCTGTAACACAGACTCCAAAAATCTGCGTCTAAGAACATGTGATTTATATGCTTACATATATAAACACATGTATACACATTTGTACATGCATAAATTAAGTCTAAACAAAGGGTTAACAAAAACAAATCATGCACACATATGCGTCTTTATGCATTTAAATGCATCTATATTTTACTGATCACTGTACAAGAACTTTTTTTTTTCCATGAAAACAGATATGGAATTATATCAGTAAAATTTTTACGGCCATGTGAATAAAAAACCAAGTCATACCTTTAAAGGAGGCTGCACACTCACATTATCTGTTCCCCATGCCACTGAACTCCAATCCTGAAGATTTCAATCTCAGGATCGAAGTGGTGTTTGCCAGCAGCAGGAAAGGGACGTTTGTACAGTTATCTTTTACATGTAGGGCTTGGTTTTGTATAGCAACAGGGTAATTTTTACGACAACAACTAGAATAAAATAGACTTCAATGATGCTGTAGTTCTCACCTTGCTATTAAAGAATAGCACCAGTTTAAAAACAAAAATATGCTGAGAGCACAAAAAGCATGATATTAAGCTGGAAGTTACCTGCTGAGAGTCATTTGACTTAAAGGCATCCTTTAGAATCTCTACTGCTCTAGAAGGATCGACATATTTCCTCTTTGAACTGACCAACAGTGAGAAGAGATATCTCAGCTCACGCATGAAAGGCAGGTTTCTGTGTTCCTGTGGAGTGTAGATGAAAAAAAAACAAAAAGAGAAAAAAAAAAAACAGATATTGTCTGAAAAGTTGGCAGTTATGCAAACTACTATAATATATGGTACATACCTAGCTGTCATTTGTACCTACCTTCCCACCTTTTTTAAAGTCTAAATTTAAAGACGTGACACTTTAAAGATTCAGATGGTAAAATATCTTCAGTATATAAATTCATGGTCATAGTGCTAAACATGAATGTTTCTATATATTGCACAGAAACCCCTGAAACCAACCATATCTTAGTCAAATAGTAATTATTCCAGGACAACCCTTTTGGCTTTGGAAAGAAGTATAGACAGAACATACTTTTTTTCATTTGTTCCTCGCTGCGCATCTGTGTCTCAGCAGTGTTAGAGAGACCCTGCTGTCACACCATATATTTCAATAAAAATACTCCTATAAGATTATACAGGCATTTAAAAAAATGTTATGCATGTTATTTCCCTGTAAAATCTTCCCTTGTGTAGACATCTAAAAGCCCAGAGAATGCTGCTGGGTGCCGACATCTTGAATGTGATGTCATTAGCCCAAGCAGACTCAAAGCAGTCACTCACGTGACACTCTGTAGTATTCTGTATTCCACACTGCTCCTCCCCTGGCAGCTATATAAAAGTTACTATAGGAAGGTGATGGAGGTGCAAAAGAAGTTAAAGAAAAAATTATTTCCACAAATTCAAAATTATTGTCAAGTCCCCAAGAGAACCAAATGTATGTAGGATCTTAGTCCTGTTTTCACTGTACAGTGGTTGCTGAGCTAGCGTGGTCGCAGCGCACTGCCCTTGCCCTCAACAAAAGATGCCCAGTAGCAGATTCATATCTAATGAGGGCTGAGCTACAGCAGTTGTCTCTGCAGGCATAGGAACACACCAGAGACTAGCACCATAGCAGAGGAAGGATCCAAGCACAAGAGCAAATTTTAAATTGTTAGCAATATCCACTCACCATTAGAAAGCCGGCAACCAATAATCAGCATCAATATCAGCAGATGATTTGGGCAAATTATAGAAAGTACCTGACATTCCAGAGTCAAATCTGGACACACTTTGAACAAGAAGCTGTAATAAAAATATCTGTGCAGGCAGAGCTGGAAATAGGCACAGGTACCCAATGTTAGTGGAGTGGGACCACACAAAGGATAGCAGCAAAGCAGGGAGTGATGTATTGAGCTGGCCATAGTAGACTATTCATGCTTTTTTTCCCCCATTCAGCCAGTGGCCTGAATGAAACCTATTCCTCCATACACACAGCTGAGGTGGATAGAGGAATCCTTACCACTCAAACTGTACGCTGACAGAAGGACTCCCCGCTATTAGAGTACACTGATCAGTGGCTGCAGCCGGCTAATCCTGAAAATTTTTACAATAAGCCACAAGGAGGGGCCCAGAGTGCCAGCAGGAGCCCTGAGAAGAGGAAGGATCAGGGCTACTCTGTGCAAAATCATTACATAGTTCAGGCATGTAAAATATGTTTGTTTTTTTTTCTTCTTGTTCAAACACTTTCTAACATCTCCAGAAGAGACTCTCCACACCTACCTCTCGTGCAGCTAGCAGTGCCAACAGACATTAATATCAACACTGATTACCAGCTACCTATAGGTGAGTAAATACTTCTCATAATTTAAATTACTCTTGGTTTGAGGAAAGGGGGTGGTGGCTACAGTACCATAAATTGGGCTTCGGCCTGGGGTGGAGCTTTTATTGCACAACATGGCCAAGAGTCGGAACAGGACCAAGTGCTACATTCATTTCAACAATAGTGCTAAAGCTTTGGTGATAAATTTAAAGTGGTAATAAACCCACTTTGTTCATTTTTATCTACAGGTAAGCCTATAATAAAGCTTACTTGTAGGTAAATGAATATCTCCTAAACGTGCACCGTTTAGGAGATATTAGTTTTTTTTTGTTTGTTTTTAACTGGCACATGCACTGTGAAGGAACAGCATGCCCGTCCCGTTCCTTCACAGCACTGTGCCATGGCCCGTGACTCCCGTGTGCATGCGTGGGAGCAATGTCATTGCGGCTCAGCCAGTCAGATGGTCAGAGCTCGTCAACTCGAAAGGAAGACCAGGTGAAGATGGAAGCCTTTACAGCGGTAACGGTGTGCTGCTGGAGGGCTTTGTTTTAACGGAAGATTTATATAATGTGCTAGTATGTGATGCATACTAGTACAGTATGCCATTTTGTTTTTTTATGCCATGTTTTTTGATTTTTCTTTTGATGCCGTTTACTCCTGCTTTAAAACAGCACAGACAGTAATCAGACATTCCCATGAGAGTAAAGTGATATAACATGCAAGCAGGGAGGGGATACGCAAGGTAATTGACTAGTCAATTTAGCAAGTTCAAAGCCACATTACAAGTGAATAGACATAATTTAAGAAAAGGAGAAACACTTTCATTAAGCACTACAAAAAAAAAAAAAAAAAAAAAAAAATTGTATTTTTGGACTTTTACCTGCAATTTTTTAAAGTTGGTGGCAAATTCCCTTTAAAGTTAGACAAAGCCATGCGACTAACAAGATAGCCACAAGCAATAGTAGCCCACAGATCTAACAGCAGATGTACATTAAAAACAAGAGAGGATCCTATTTGAATATATTCAGCTACTATTAAATACTTTTCCAGACACAGGCTTAAAGATACCTCGCTCTCTGGACAACTAAATTACTTGGTCGCAGGAAAAAAAAAAAAAAAAAAAAAGTTTCAGCTGGTTGTACAGAAAACCAGTATTCAGATTTTTTTTTCTGAAGGTTTAACACCATCAACAAGATCTCATTTATCCGAAGGTCAAAACGCTTAGTTTATGCTTCCACATGAACAAATTCAACTGCTTATTTAAGTAAAAGCTGTTTGCACAGTTAAATGGCTTTAAGATGAAGTAAAAACAAAAGCAGATATAACATACACATCACACCAGTGTGAGATTCAATACTGTGTAAATGCCTTTTATAGCCAACATCTCATTCGCCTTTACTCTCCTTAAAGATTACCAACAGCTCCTGACATTTAAAGTAAATTTTATTGTAAGACTCACAGCACTGGCTGTGTAATGGTCTATAGTAATACACATCAGTGGTGGGTAATGATGCTTTGGACTGGATTAACCATTTTAAATGTTACTGTTATCACTTCCTGTGTGTGGTACTGCAAGAATAAAAATCGGGTTTCTATGCTGAGCCTACAATCTACAAGATTTACCCCAAAATGTCAAAAATAAAGAAGACCCAACGGTCTGAAAACACTATCCGTATGATAATGGGTTGTGTCATCTTACAAACTAAAAAAAATTAAAATAGAGCTCAAGGCTCCTGCGTGATAGTCTAAACAAGTACCAAATCCAGGTACCATGTGATGCACAAGCATCAAAATAAACAACCACGATCAATTCCCAGACTGAGTTTCCTTTATTTGTATCTCAAACACTCCCTAAACCAGACACTGCAGCTCACAGTTTGAGTGTCCCAGTCATAGAGACAGAGTTGTCAATCCACAAAGCACAGGGGGAGGACTAGGTAAGGCCAGGTGCTGATTGACAAGCTATAGGCATTTATGAACTGAAAGTGATAATACTGGTAGTCACCAACACCTACAACAGTTTTTTTTTCACCACTGTAGTAAGCATGCACAACCTACATGAGAATGGCAACACTGCTTGGAATTCAGGAGCAGTGCAGAATTGTTGTCACCTCATTACAGAAAGCTGTAATAGACAGACTTCACTAGCAGGCTTTGTGGGACTTTACAGATGAAAAAAAACAAGTGCAGTTTTTGTTTTTTTTTAATTGGGAAAGGTGGGGGTTGGTGGAGGAGTCAGACATACTTTAAAGTTAATCTAAAATCAAAACTAAAAATATAATTTTAAGCCTTAAAATGTTAATGTCATTTCAAAAGTTGTTTCAATCCATTTATATTTTGCAGCTTTCACTAAAAGAATACACGGTGATCCTGCCATGAAGATCTTTACTCGGGCTCTTCCTGTTATGGTATGACACCTATCTCCCAGCTTTGTCACTATAGTACATGAGCACCTGATGTAAGACTACAAGCAGTAATGCCAACATGCATTGTGTTGGCATGGTCCACCATTGTCCCCATCAGGAAGCTGCAAACATGCAAATTGCTTATGAAGTAGAGTCATTTAGCACACTAAATGTTAACCATTTAGTCTTTAGACTTGCTTTTACGCATTCATGTAAAATATACCTATATAACATATTACACATGTCCGTAGTCTTTATACTCCTGAATTTCTGTCAATATAGTTATACATTCTTCTGTTAATATTGCTTCCAGTCATACTGAGTGACAGCACTGTTCCTTCCAGTCAACCATGTGATTCTACTTTGTAACCTCTGTTCCCTCTTACATCTTGGCAGATGGGAAATACACAATTATAGATTTCAGAAAATGCATACAGATAAAAATATACCAGACCTTTTGGTTTCGGGGTACATCCTGAGCACTTGCAGGGGGGCTGTAGTTCAAAACAAGTCTGCGAAATTCCAGCAGGTTGAAGAGGGACTGTATAGAAAAGAAGAAGTATACATTTTACAAGAAAAAAAACACCAAAGTCAGTCTCTGATTTGGACAGAAGTACCAAGGTGCCTCAAGGCAGACGATTTCCCAATTCCCAAAGTAATATTCACTGAAGATAGCAAATCATAGTTGAACAGGAAGCTCACCAACACTCTATTCCAGCCAAATTACCATCTCACTACAGCCTGAAGTACGTACTAGGATCATGACAAAGAAATGCCATACGAGTAGAATTCCCATCTGCTGGTACACACTTGCATGTGCAGCAGGAACTGCCATCATTTTCAACAGTACTTCATCATTATCCAGACCTTGTCAAGCAGTTATCAAAAGTTGGATACCAAAAAAAAAGGGGAGGAGGAAAAATGCTTTGTGGCTATAGAAAATGTGCAGCAAATCTGGGCTATGGGACATGGAGGCTAATTGTTGCTAAAGGAGAGGGGGCTGTTAAGTTCCTAGAGTGGAAAAGGAGGGAAAGGGAGTGGAAAATGCAGGGAAAAGCAACAGGTTTCTTTAATTCCTTTACAATGACACATTTACTTTCCTTACACTCCCAGTCAGAAAGAAAGTCCTCTCTAAGCCAAGAGTCCAAAACCTGAGGTATCACTGGTGTCAACATTTTATTAGGAAGGCTATCCACAAGCTTGACATTGACAGTTTGTCAAGCTTGTGGATATCCTTCCATTAAATGTGGACACACTAATCCCACCAGTGTGTGATGGCTTCTTCTTAGCACTTGGTCTGAATGGATGAATGGAGATGACTCTTATAACCCCTGGTACCTGGGTTTGAAGTGGCCATGAGAAGAGCGGCTTAGAGTGGAGAATATTTATATATCAGCATCCCAATAAGAGTAGTCACAGTTGTAGTGTACACAGGGAAATTCTTGTGTGACCGTGCACATGGGGGCAGTACGGACACATACTAACATACTGAATGCTCCTCCATACCAGAATGAGTATTTTCTTTGGCAAGTATGTGCAGGGAGGGAGTGGGGGTAGAGCAACCTGACTGAATACAGCGTCTGCTATCTCCTGGATATTCCACAATCGCTTTCTTAGCATGTTATTAACTTCTGAACTATGTCTCACACCCCGCACCCCCCTCCCAAGCCTTTGTGCACACGTATAATACCCAATTTTCTAAAGCCCATAAATGGGGAAAAGCCTGCCCAAGAATATAATGTGGTAGACATCCACCAGTTCGCAAGTGAGACCTACTTGACAAGATCAAGTCACTAACAGGTAAGTGCTCTACTTCCTTTTGGCAAGAGATTTCCAACAAAATTGGCAAACCTCCATCAGCGAGAAAGATTGCTTCATCAAATCGAAAGCGCTCATTTTCTTCTCCAGTGCATACCCATAAAGAGCATGATCTTTACTGAAGCACTGTAGTGAGACAATTTGGGGCAGACTTAATGGACCACTTAGGGCTTGTTCACACTTGACTTTATGTCTAACTCTTGCCAAACGACCCTATAGAGTTTGACAGGCGCTTATGAAGTGTTTTTAACGCTCCCCAAATGCTCCCAAAACACCCTATGCGTGGTTTTGAGGCGGTTAATAGGTGTTTGCCAATCGTTAAAACCACACCACAAACTCCTACAATGAAGTTAAATGGTATTAACTACCTGCCGACCGCAGATAGCCGAATGATGGCTTCACTGCGGCCGGCCAGTTCTGAGTGGACGTCATATGACGTGCCCCCAGAACGCGCTCTCATGCGCGCCCCAGGGGGCGCGCACCCGGCGATCTCCGTGATCGCTGTGTCCTACGGACACAGCTGATCACGTGATGTGGTAAAAGGCCAATCACAGCGGCCTTTTACCACCTAATCAGCGGTGTCCAATGACACGCTGATCAGAGGAAAATGCAAGTGCCGGTTCTCGGCTGCACTTTCCTCACGCTGTCAGATCGTGAGGAAAGTACTGCCGAGAACTGGCAGTTGTCAGAGCGGGGATCGGCACCGATCATCAGGGCACTGATGATCAGGGCACTGATGATCAGTGCCCTGATGATCGGTGCCCAGCAGTGCCACCCACAAGTTCCGCCCACCTGTGCCCAGCAGTGCGCCCACTAGCTCCGCCCACCTGTGCCCAGCAGATCACCCACCTGTGCCCAGCAGTGCACCCACCTGTGCCACCTACCTGTGCCCAGAAGTGCCACCTACATGTGCCCAGCAGTGCCACCCACCTGTGCCCACCAGTGCCACCCACCTGTGCCACCCACCTGTGCCCACCCACCTGTGCTGCCAGTCAGTGCCACCAGTCAGTGTCCAGGGGTTGTGCCAGTCAGTCAGTGCCGTCTATCAGTACCCATCATCAGTGTCAAGTATCAGTGCCGCCTATCAGTGCTGCATATTAGTGCCGCCTATCCGTGACACCTCATTAGTGCTGTCTATCAGTGCCGCCTATCCGTGCCACCTCATTAGTACTGCCTATCAGTGCCCTTTAGTGCTGCCTATCAGTGCTGCCTCATCAACGCACATCAGTGAAGGAGAAAAAATGCCTGTTTGAAAAATTTTATAATAGAAACAAAGAAACTTTTTTTTTTTTCTAATTTTTTGCACTTTTTTATTTATAGCGCAAAAAGTAAAGCGCCCAGTGGCGATTAAATACCACCAAAAGAAAGCTCTATTTGTGAGAAAAAAATGATGAAAATTTCATATGGGTACAATGTTGCATGACCATGCAATTGTCAATCAAAGTGCGGCAGCGCTGAAAGCTGAAAATTGGCCTGGTAAATAAGGGGGTATAAGTGCCTGGTAGGCAAGTGGTTAACGCTCCGCAACCGCATCGCAAACGCCTGATGGGCATTTGAGAAGCGGCAACATAGACTTGAAATGGGAGGCTTCTACTCCTCCTGACTGGACACGAGGCTTCAGTTTTGCTGTGACACAACATGACGCTAACGCTTCCGTGTAAACAGCACTGTGTGCTGCCATGTGCAGAATTTTCATAGGCGTTTGAGAAGCGTTAAAAACGCTTCCCAAACACCTGTGACACCTGCTGACAAAGCTAATGTGAAAGTAGCCTTAGACTTTTTTTTCTGTTGTTTATGGTGTGTACTTGTCTCAATCCAGAGTACGAAGTGTTATTTCTGTCTGCTGCTAAGCTCCTCTGCTATCAGCACGAGTCACTTCTTATGTGTTTTCCTGACACCTAGAGAAAAATGGTGACAGGGGAGGGCACAGCCAGTGATTGACAGCCTCAGTTCTGTTCCTGTGAGCTGTGTGAAGAGGGGAGGGGATGTCCCTTCCCTCTATTCAGCTCTAAGAGATCTCCTCCCTCATGAAACTTCAACTCCCCGCCTCCAGCTTTTCAGAGCCGAGAGATCCTGTGCAAATTCCAATGGATGTAGGGGACAGAATGCTATAGATAAATGGGTACAGCTTACATAGGAGGATCTGTTTCATCTCACCTGAGTCACTTCACTGGGTATATGTAAAGGTTAACAACCAATTTAAAAAAAGTCTACTTTGATTTCTATAAAGTGGAACATTACTTTAAACCTTTCAGAACAGGTAGGATTTATAAATACAGAAGAGACGCAATGGGGTTGATTTACTAAAACGGGAGAGTGCAAAATCTGGCGAAGCTGTGCATGGTAGCCAATTGGCTTCTAACTTCAGCTTGTTCAATTAAGCTTTGACAAAAAAAAAAAAAAAAAACTGGAAGCTAATTGGTTTCTATGCTCAGATGCACCAGATTTTGCACTCTCCACTTAGTAAAGCAACCCCTAAGTCTCAAGAGCTTTTCACAGTCATAAGATTTCTGTTACATCATCTACCAAAACCTCAATGTACAGGGTGCTCATTTCTGATGCCTTATGTATTAGTGTATGCTTTTATATCTTAATGATACAGACCCAGTACGTCCCAATTGTGTACAGTGCTATGGAAGATGTTGGTACAATTTAACCAATACCTACAATCCAGAGTGCCTCAGCCTAAGGTAAAGTACAGCATACTTTGGAATGTCTGCTGCCAAATGTCAGTTTCTGGTATCACTGTCATTTAGCTGCACTCTCTGCTGATGTTACAAGAGCTGAGAGATCTTGCATACTAAAATATAAGCCACAAAAAAACAGATTCCTTCGGCTGAAGTCAGACTCAACAACACGGGCATATAAATTAGTCAGCGTAAGTAAACAAGCTCGTCTCAACAGCTGACGGCAGTGTCAATGATTCGCCATCTGTTACAATCTGTTAAAAGACTTGTGGCAACTTTGATCGCAGAGGAGTAGAGCCATTCATTGTAAACAAATAATAATTTTAGATAAACAGATTGGAATAGGCGCTCACGGCAGATTGTAAGAGCCCATACACAAAGATGTTCTTCATGCCCAACTTCTTTTTTCTATTAATTATTTTAATACTTGATGAGAACAGAGAAATTTCGAGTTTGTTAAACAGCACTGAGCCACCTTGTTCCCTCATGCTTAAACTATTAAGGTAAACAATAGCCCATTGGGTAATATACAAAGCTTGCTTGTTGCCATGAGGAAACTGTCGAAGAGAAAGCTGCAGCTATGCCGACGTTCCACAGATAACAGAAACTGAAACTTCAGACCTTTGTGGCAGTAAGTCGGATCAGAACACTTAACAGGGCAACATGCTGACTTCTTAAACTGCACAGGAATATCCGAGCAATGTATCCTTCCAAGAACATCCATCCAAGCACACAAAGATGTGATGGCAAATCACTGAAAGAGCAGTAACACTCATCTGCCAATCAGAGTTCACTTTATGAAAGCTGGATTGCTGATGAAGTCTGACTGGTTGCCATAAATGTCTTACTCTTTATGCTATGAACACATTGACAACGTATGTGTTTGGCTGATCTGGGCTGCCTTGCCCAATGCAAAAGAACACAGACAAGACAATTTGTCTCGAGTCCTTTGAGTTCAATTCACAACACTGACCAGCACTAGCATGTCAAAAAGTAGGACATGCTCTACTTTTTTTCAGTGCAAAGTTGAAAAAAA